TGCAAATCCAAAGTTTCTTTTTTTTAAGATTTTATTTATTTATTTGATAGAGAGGGGGGGGAGGTCAGAGGGAGAAGCAGACTCTCCACTGAGCAGGGAGCCTTATACAGGACTCGATCCTGGGACTCCCAGATCATGACCTGAGAAAAAGGCAGCCGCTTAACTGACTGAGCCCCCCAAGCACCCAGGAATCTGAAGTTTCAATGAAGACATGTTAAGCTTGAGATGCCTGTTAGACATTCAAGGGTTATGTCAAGTGAACGGTTTTCCTGCGTATTTCAGTGCATCCCATTATCCCTGTGAGGTCAAGGTCCCGGGTCAGAAAAGCAGTCCCTTGACTTTCCTGATGGTCCCTAACCATCTTGGCTCATTCTAGTCCACCTCTGCCTCAGGACCAATTCACATCCCACCCTTCAAGGTTTACTTCCCACAGAATTAATTTCCTTTCCCAGTCCGCAGTGAACCTCGCTAATAGTTACTCCCTATTGCATTGTGTTGAGCCCACGTTTTCTGTCTGCAGTGTGTCATCCTTCTTTCTTCTCTGGCGGCCTCCAGCATACCTCAGAGACATGGGCTGGGTGGTTAAACTCATTCCCCACTCTTTTTCCCCAACACAGATTTGACCTGATTTGACTCTTCCCTTCAGTGTATTCATTCGGGCTGGGACCAGGCTAAGGCAAACAAAGTGCCTATGGGTGCAAAATTTAAGAAAACACTCACTCTTAGTGAGATTACAGGGCCCAAGGATTTTTTAAAATTCTGTTATATATTGTACAGTCGATACTGCTTCCTAAAAGAGAGAGTACCAATTTATAATGCCACCAAAATCAACAATCTATCGATTTTGCAAAACTTCGTCAAGACTGTATGTCATCTCTGTGGGGGGAAAAAAAATCAGGGGGTCAGACTATAGCCAGCATCTCAAACATCTTTCAATGCTATCAACTAACATACAGGACGGTACACTCCCTGTCCATGAGTCCTTAATGACGGGTAGGGTAAGCCTTATTTCTCTAATTTTATTTTAGCTTAATTTTTTTAAAGATTTTATTTATTTCTTTGGCAGAGAGATAGCGAGAGAGGGAGCACAAGCAGGGGGAGTGGGAGAGGGAGAAGCAGGCTTCCCGCTGAGCAGGGAGCCCGATGCGGGGCTCCACCCGAGGACCCCGGGATCGTAGTCTTTGATCTCTGGTTCATAATTTAAGAACTTTAATAACTCCTCACCCACTCGGAGGTTTTTTTTTCCCCCGGGGCGAGGGTCGCGTCCGCCCACACCGCGAAAGGGTGCGGGAGACCGGCAGGTGCACGGGTCAGAGTCCGCCGGGGCAGCCCCGCGGCGCCCACGCAGCACCCAGCCGCCGAGACCCGCTTCCTGGCCAGCCCCGCGGGGGGTGGTGGTTCCCGCAGCGGCGCTCGGGGAGGCGCAGCAGGTGCGCGCAGCAGGAGGCTGGACACAGTGTCTGACACGCAGCACCTCTCAGTGCGAGAGAACAAGAGGACACCCGGACAGGCAGACGGAGGGTCTGAGTAGTGCGGGAGTCCGGGTGGCTGGTTTCCCCCCTAACACTGCCTACAAACCCCGTATGAAGACGGCACGAATTATGCGCGAAATCGGTCATTTACTGTGTCCAAGGGAGAGAGGAAGTTTGGAAAATTGGTGGGCTCTGCCAGGCCCGTAAAGCCAACCAAACTACATCATGAATCAAATATTTCCCCCCCAAAAAGATACATGATTGTACTTACCGTAGGACAGGGAATGCTTCTTTTAACAAAAAATATTTTCATTTTCTTTTTTTTTCTAATTCTTTATTTAAATTCAGTCTGGTTAACGTATATAGTGTACTACTAGTTTCAGGGTAGAATTCAGTGCGTCATCAGCTGCAACAACTCCCAAGACCCTCCATCACGTGCCCTCTTCGTGCCCATCACCCAAACCCCTTTCCTCTACCCACCACCCCTCCAGCAACCCTGTTTTTTCCCTAGAGATAATCGTCACTTACAGTTTGCCTCCCTCTCTATTTTCATCTTATTTTATTTTTCCTTCCCTTCCTCTATGTTCATCTGTTTTGTTTCTTAAATTCCACACAGAGTGAAATTTTATGGAATTTGTCTTTCTCTGACTGGCTTATTTCACTTAGCATAATGCCCTCTAGTGCTTTCTCCGTTGTGCAAGATATCAGGAACACACCTTGCTGGCAGAATTATACTGGCCAATAAAAACCTCTGAATCTGTTCTCTGTACTACCTCTGCCAACGGAAACACATTTACTTCTGTTTTCACATACCTTTCTATTTTCAGTGAGATACTCTCCCAAGCTACTGATCACTTCCTGCTCGGAACCTAGTTCTTCACTGTAAGTACTTTGAAATCAAGCAATTCTTTAAAAGCTTATCTTAGCACTGGGGGGAAGAAAAGTTTTTGGGTTTTTTTTAAGTATTTGATGTCTTTATTTTCAGCTGAAAGACTCATGTTTTCTTAACTATCTGCTTTAAATTTAGTCAAACTCAACAAGTATGTGCCAAACATGTGTTAGATGCCATGCTTTTCAAAGGAGTGCAGCCTTGAATTCTTACCAACTACTGTTTCCAGCAGAAAACACTTATCAGGTGTTATGTTTACTAACTTGATCACTAATTTCATTCCTTATATTAATACATATGCATATTTACTTGTGCTAGTCTAATTTCTTTATGCTTTGAAAATATTTTATTTCATCTATCCAGTAAAATGTCAGAAATAGGAGATGGAATTTTTTGGATTTACTAATGAATCATGAGAATCTTTGAATTTTCAGTATGAAAGGAAGAAAACAGACTAGAATGTTTCAAAATTAAATTCTGGTGCTTCATTCATATGCATAGAGATGTTACCCTTCTCACCTATCATTACATTTTTATCTTTGAAGCTTAAGAGATGAGAGATCAAGAAACAAAAATGTTTCAATTAAAGTGAAAAGAATCGGGTGTCTGGCTGGCTTAGTCAGTGGAATGTGGGACTCTTGATCTCAGGGTTGTGAGTTTCAGCCTCACATTGGGTGTAGAGATCACCTAAAAATAAATTTTTTTTTAAAAAGTGAAAAAAATCGGGACGCCTGAGTTTCTCAGTTGGTTAAGCGGCTGCCTTCAGCTCTGGTCATGATCCCAGCGTCCTGGGATTGAGTCTCACATCGGGCTTCTTGCTCAGTGGAGAGCCTGCTTCTCCCTCTGCCTCTGCCTACCACTCTGTCTGCCTGTGCTCTCTCTCTCTCTAACAAACACATAAATAAAATCTTTAAAAAATAAAAAACTGAAAAAAATCAAAATTTAGTAGTAAACACCAGAAAGAAGAAGAAAGTCTAAGTAATAAATTTAGTACCTGAACTGATTAATGTAATAGAGTAATACATTAATTCTATTGGTTAATATCGATAAGATGATGGGCTGTTCTCAAGAGTTCGTGTTCCAAGGCAGGGGAGATAGATATGAGATTAGTCGTAACTAAGACTAATTGGCGAAATTGGGATGTTTAACATGTGAGCCAAATTCTGCAAGATTTCCTAGCATTGAGGCCATTCCATGAAAGGAACCTTCTAAAGAAAGGAGTTGGTAGTCTCTCTTCAAAACGTGTGCACCAAGATTCCCATCTCAGGTCCTCCTGTCTCCATTTTTTTTTTTTTCTTTTCCCTGAGTGGAATTTTCCATCACTCTCTGTTCCTGCGGGATCAAAGATGGCACCAAACAAAACAGCTATGGGGTCACTTAGTGATGGGCAGAGCTGCTGGCCATCGAGGAGCTACAGACATCTTAGTCCCTACCACATCTAACACAACGCTTCCACATGCATTGGCTGCCCAGCAACTATTTGCTGAATTAGATTGCATTTGTAGTTGTTAGTAACAGAGGAGAAATGAAATAGCTCCAGGCCATGGGTGACAGAGTATGTTCTGCAAAGTCACTGGCACTGGGATGTCCTGGGATGCCAGGGTTCTGAGCAGGCAGCCGACAGCAAAGGAAAGAACTGAGCTAGTTCAGCCTGTGCTCCTCAGGCAGGCTGGAGGCACTGGTATAGGCTGCTATCTGCCTGGAGAAAAGTACTGATTTTTCTCATTCTCGCCAAGCTGTGTCTACACAAAAGAGCGACCTTTCTCTGCACAACAGCACCTTCTGGCTTAGGAGCACCCTGAGGGTGCTCGGGACAGATTCCTGCACCCCAGCCCAGCCCATTTCTAAAATAATTTTAGAGGTTAATACCCAGGATTCTACCTCGGAAACAAGCTCTCCAAGTGGTTTTTACACAAAGGAAGTGTTGGGGACATTGGGAGACAGGCTTGTAGATCTGGTCTCAGAAAGTCTTAGCGTCTTGACTGGGTTTAGAGAGATTCCAGGAAAGTTGTCTTCTGTTATCACAGCGGCTCTCAACGGCCCCAAACACGCTGCTCTCCTGCCTTGAATACCTGGGGTTGAAAACTGTTGGAGACTTGGTGGCCTCCGCACGGGATTTGCAGGTCACTTGGACATTGTGCATTTGTTACATTTCGAGATTTTGTTGCAACTTGAAGCTCTCTAGAATTTGTGAAATGATATTTAAGCCACAGAGCTGCGTATCAGAGTGTTCGCTTTCTCCTCTCCATTTTATAACTATCAAGAAGGCGTTTCCTGGAGTAAGAAATCTCATGTGGGAGTTGACAAAACCCTTTTCAAAATAACCTGAATCGGTCCCATGAAAGTCTGGGACACCGGTTCCGCGCAGCTCTGCTCTTCTGGGCCGGGCCGGATAGGGCAGCCCTGGGCCCCCGCAGGCGACCTTCGTCGGGGAGGAACTTCCCTCCAGCACCCGAAACCTCTGGGGGCCGCCGGTGCGCGCGGTTATCTGTGCGGAAGGGTCCACGGAAGCACCTGCGTCCCCGCGGTTCCCACGTTCAAAAGAGGAAGTCAGACGTCGTGAAAGGAGCGGAGCCTGAGCCTCGTCTGCGGCCGAGGACTACGCACGTCGCCCAACTGAGAAAGTGACTTTTGTGCAGATGCGGCGGCCAGCACGGGCGGCTGCCCGGGGCCCAACACAGGGACCGGACGTCAGAGGCCCCCGGACCGTCGGGCCTGCCGGGCTCTCGGGCTCGCAGCGGCCGGTGGGAATCCCGGACCCTGCAGCGCCCCGAGGGGGACAGTCCGCGGAGGGAGGACGACCCCGCGGCCGCAGACGCGCGTCTTCTCTGAATCTTCACGCTGCGCTCGCCTGTGCCAGCGCGGTCGGACCTCCCGAAGGACAGCGGGGGCCGCCGGGGCCGGCCGCGGGCCGCCCGCTCTCCGTTCCGCCCCGGCCGCGTCGCAGGGCCCCGCTCCCCTCCCCTCCCCCCGCGCGGGCCCCGCTCCCCTCCCCTCCCCCCGCGCCGGCCCCGCTCCCCTCCCCTCCCCCGCGCCGGCCCCGCTCCCCTCCCTCCCCCGCGCGTGCTCTCGCTGTCTCCGAAATGAAGTTGTATTTCTTTTAAACAATGGAAAAGGAAAAAAGAATAAAAAGAAAAAGAAAAGGAAAGAAGGAAGAAGCTACGCCGGTTGCGGGAACATGTTTCTGCTCCCGGAGGGCCTGGAGGCCCCGAGTCCGTCCGCGGGATTCACCGGACGCCGTGTGCCGGGCGCTGGCTCGGGGCCGGGGGGCGGGGAGGGGGGCCGCTGCGCTGGGGTGACCCGCAGTCACGACTGTTTTACGGACGTTATTGACTCACTTGTTTGGGAGAGAGACAGTGAGGCTGAGCGAGCGCGAGAGCGGACGGTCCAGGGGAGACGCAGGCGTCACCGGCCCCGGGAGGACCGTCCCCGCGAGGACCGTCCCCGCCGGCCAGGGACAGGTCTAGAGCGCGCGGCCCGTGCGCCCAGGAAGGCCGCCTCCTCCGGGCGGGAACCGGGAGCCGCCGGGCCGCGGCGCTGCGAGGAGGGTCGGAGGCCGCTGCCGCGGAGGAAGGGGGTAACTTGGCTCGGCCGGACCCCGACCTGCCCTCTCTTGGCCCCTTGACCTCCCCGCCGGACGGGAGCCCGAGCACAGCCCGACGAAGGTCCCCGCATTCCGCCGCCCCACACGCGCCGCTCCTCCCGACCGGGCCGGCGCGGGGAGGCTCTCCCGGACCGCGCAGCGCCGCGGACCCCGCGGTAAGTCACCGCGCCGCTGCCCCACGGACCCCGCGGTGGTCACCGCGCCGCTGCCCCACGGACCCCGCGGTGGTCACCGCGCCGCTGCCCCCACCGACCCCGGGTGGTCACCGCGCCGCTGCCCCGAGCCGCTGCCCCACGCCCGCCGGCCCCGCAGCACAGCGGGTTCTCTCCTGGCGGACCTCGGGGAAAGGCCTTTGCAGCGGGTTTCCTAAGAGCGCAAAGATCAAACCCAAAATCCACTCTAGTGATATTTGTAGAAAGGCAGACCTGGGGCGCCGGGGCGGGGCGTGGGGGGAGCCTCTGCGGGGAAAAGGCTGCCTTTGGCTCAGGTCAGGGTCCTGGGGTCCCTGGATGAGCCGTGCTCGGTGCGGAGCCTGCTGCTCCCCCTGCTTGTGCTCTCGCCCCCTCTCTCTCTCTCTGACAAATAAATAAAACCTTTAAAAAAAAAAAGGCAAACAATAAATTTAAAATAAGCTTTAACTGCTCTGGATGTAGTTTATGGTATTTTATACGAAAAAGAGAAATCCTTCAGAATAGTTCCTAAGAATGGGGGGGTAACATTTTCATAATGCCTGTATTTACATTATGCACTGCTTGAATTTAGGAATATATTTTTACAGCACTGGTAGCAGATTGTTTTTGTGTTTTTCACTTTAAATCTTATGGGGCTCCCCTCTTCCCATGTTCTTTTTTATGTTTTGTTTGGTTATTTTTAAAAATAATTTTAGACTTACGAAAAATGCTGCAAAAACAGCACAGACAGTAACAAATGTTGACCAGGATACGCAGTACTTAGAACCTTCACGCAAAATGCAGCCATTTGGGAAAACAGTTTGAAACAGTTTTCAAAATGCTACACATGGCATTGGTGGTATAGTGGTGAGCTCCGCTACCTTCCAACATGCTGACGGTAGAGTTACCACTTTGACCCACAACTTTGACTTCTGGGTATCTATCCAGGAGAAATGAAAATAAATGTCCACACAAAAACCTGTAGACAAACAGTAAGTAGAGCATTCGTTAATAATCAAAAAGTAAAACAATGTAAATGTCTGTCAACTCATGAACGGATGAACACAAGATGGTTTGTCCACACAGTGGAATGTTATTCAGCTGTAGAGAAGTACCGGCACACACTAGAACACAGATGAACCCTGGAAACATCACGCTAACTGAGGAAGTCAGTCACAGAAGACTACACACAGTCTTGTGTATCCCAGGGATATGTTTTAAGACAGCCCAGTGGATCCCTGAAACCGCAGATCGTACCACACCCTATATATACAATGTTTTTTATGCATACATAACTATCATAAAGTTTAATTTATAAATTAGGCATAGTAAGAGATTAACAACAACAATAATAAAATAGAACAATCATGACCATATACTGTAAAAAAAGTTATGTGACTATGGCCTCTCGAAATGTTATTATATCTACTCACCCTTCCTGAGCTGATAAGATGCCTGCGTGAGGAGATAAAGTGAGGTGAATGACGTTGGCATTGTGACAGCTCCAGGTGACTACTGACAGCTCTAGGCAACAGCACCAGGCGACTGGACCATATGTCAGAAGGAGAAAGTTCTGCTTCCAGACCTCAGCTGACCCTAGGTAACTGAAGCCACGGATGAGGACTACTGCACCATCTGATTCCATTTACGTGAAATGTCCACAATAACCAAACCAGTAGAGACAGATTAGAGACTGTTGGGAGCTGCGGAAGTGAGGGGATGTGGGGAGTGACTGGTAATAGATATGGGTATTTTTAAGGGATGTGTGATAAAAACATTCTAAAATCTTATTATGGTGATGGCTGTGCAACTCTGGATATGCTAAAATTCCTCAAGTATACATTTTAAATGAGTGAATTTCATGGCATGTAAAATATATATCTCAATAAAGCTATTTTTTAAAAAGTGCACAGCGTCCCTGGGTACTCTTCACCCAGGTTTCCTGATTCTTGTTGTAAATTACATGACCACAGTGTAAATATTGAAACCAGGAAATTAACATTGAAAACTATTAGCTAACTAACCGACAAGATCTTATTCAGCTTTTCCTAGTTGTGCCCCTGAAGTCCCAGGGAAGGGAGGAGGAGTCTTTGGCACCCGGGAGCTGGCCTGGTCTGGCCAGCATGCCAGCAGTATGGCTACGTGCTGGCCTGACACTCACACTGGGTTGTTGTGGGGTTTCTTTGTTTGTTTTTTGTTTTTGTCTTTTTGGAGATGTAATGGACATCTAACATTATATTAGTTTCAGGTGTACAATGTAATGATTTCAGATTCGTACATATTGTGAAATGTTCACCATAATAAGCCTGGTGAGCATACCAGCACATATGTTACAGATTTTTGATGAGAACTTTTTTTTTAAGATTTTATTTATTTATTTGACAGAGGGAGAGCGCACAAACAGGGGGAGCAGCAGGCAGAGAGAAAGGGAGAGCAGACTCCCTGCTGAGCAGGGAGCCCGATGCAGGGCTCGATCCCAGGACCCTGAGATCACGACCTGAGCTGAAAGCAGAGGCTTAACTGACTGTGCCACCTAAGTGCCCCTTGATGAGAACTTTTAAGCTTTATTCTCTTAACAACTTTCAAATATACAATCCAGTAGTATTGTCTATAATCACCATGAGTACAGTACATCCGCGGGACTTGCTTATTTTGTAGCTGACAGTCTGTACCTTTTAATCACCTTCACCCATTTCTCCCACACCCCACCCCCCACCTCTGCAGCCACAGAGGTTCTGTTCTGTGTATCTGTGGGGTTGGTTTGGTTGGCCCGTTGATTGCTTGGTTGGTTTTAGACCCCACATACAGTATCTGTCTTCCTCTGCCTGACTTACGTCACTGAGCACAGTACCCTCCAGGCCCACCGCGCTGTCCCTCACACTAGGTCCTGATGTTCTCCTCTTACACATAAAGAATTTCACAGAGCATCGACGTCAGTTAAGGCTAGTCTGTGACCATGATGGATCAAGATGAAACACTTGCACTCCATAATCATATTTGGAGATATATTTGAACTTTAGACATTATTCAAGCCACAACAGACCAAACGGTGTCCTCTCCTGGCTAATGTGAGTGATTGCTGCTGCTACACCTCTGGCAGAATTAACCTTGCTCCCCGTAGACCCTATTAATAGACCCAAAGGTAGGATTGTATTCTGCTTTTGGGACCACCTCCATTCCCTTGATCCTCCTTCAAATGTACCCAACCAAAAAGTGTTTCTAATACCCTTCTCTGGAAACTTCCCCCAGTCCCCAGTGGGCGCCTTCTCCCTTGCGAGAATGTGCAGTGAACCCAACTTACTCAACTCTGATTGTGTTCTTCATGGTCTCTGGCTGAAGAGCGTGGACAGCCCCTTTTCTGTTCCAGGATTCAATTCAGGATCCCAAATCGCACTTGGTCTTCATGTCTCCGTAGTCTCCTTCCATCCTGAATATTTCCCTTTTTTTTGTCTTTCACGATCCTGACACTGTTTACTGGCCAGATGTATTACAGAATCTCCCTCCATATGTGTTTGTCTGATACCTCCTTACGAGTGGATTCTGAGTATGTGTTATAGGTAAAGTAACGCAGAAGTGATGTTGTGTCCTTCAGTGCATGATAATAAACAAGGACATGAGTGTCCCTTCATGAGCCTCGCCTTCAACCACTATCACTGCAGTGGCTCCTGGGTGGCTCACTCTGTTGAGTGTCCTACTCTCATTTCCAGCTCGGGGCATGGTCTCAGGGTCGTGAGATCAAGCCCTGCGTTGGGCTCCATAGTCAACGAGGAGTCTGCTCGAGATTTTCTCTCTCTGACTCTGCACCTCCCCATCTCAATATATATCAATAATTATCACTGTGGTGATAGTGGTGATCTTATATCTTGTATCTCCATCATTCCTTCTACATTCATTAATAGGAATTCTATCATAAAAAAGCATTATATCTTCCCCCTCATCTTAAAATTTGTTTTTATTTATATCAGCATGGAATTGTGGGTAGTTGCATTGGTTTATGAGTTATAACCCATTACTAACATTAATTTGTTGCTCAAATTGTCCTGGTTTGGCCACTGTGAGAGCCATAAGATGGGCTCTGAGGTTCTGTCTCTAAGCCATTCTGGAGCCTTTTTGAACTTTTGGCCCTAGATCAAGAGGTTCCAGGCTTCTCTTGTACTTTCCCTGCTCTAGCCCTGGAATCAGCCATTTCTCCAATGAACTCTGACTCCCTTTTATTGGAAAATGGCATTTCAAAACCAAGATTTGGGCACAAGGTATATTCAGGGATAATGGGTTTTTGTTGCTTCTAGGTCCTCTCCGTGGGCGGAGCTAGGAAATAGATTTATGTACACGCACACGTCTGTATCTGTGTGAGTGTGCACGTGCACGTGTGTGTGAATAATCGTGAGTTCGCACCTCTGATTCCAAACCAACAGCACAGGATTCATTCCAGCTCTCCTCCTTTCCTTTGGTAATTTCTTTCTCTGACAGTAAAAAACCTCAATCTCATTATCCACAGTATATTTATTTGTTCAAGCCTCGCATGTATATATATACAAAGAAGTTTCAGAACTGCTAACCTATACCCTTGTGAAAAACAAGTTTCCTAACTAGGGATTAACATTTGTTCCTTTTGTCTTCAGCCTTATATTACACGGTCAAAACACGGCTTTCTGCAGGCATCACAGTTACCTTTTCCTTCCTCACTCTCAGTGCGTTTCTAATATTAATCGTAATACAATCAGGTTACTTTGTCACCGTGTATATTGCCTTTGAGGTTCCTTCCACATTCTGGTTGACTTTAATTGTCCCTTTGTGTGTTGACTTAATGTGTGACATACTAGCATGATTTAGAGGAAGAGCCATATAAAAGGGTACACTTGGGGTATCAGCCCATCCCTACCATTCCATTTCCATCGTCTCATTCTTTTCACCCCATTTACTCTGAACATGACACATTTATTCATCTCTGGTTTATTCTTTCTGTATTTCTCATTGTATAGTATGTTTTCTTATATCCCCTTATTTCTCACATGAAGGGTATCAGACAACACACGTTCTTTTGTGCATGGCTTATCCTGGAAATCATTCTATATCAGTTTATAGAGGTTATCCTCATTCTTTCTTTGATAGCTGCATAATGCTCTCTTGTATGGATGTCCTGTTAGAAAACAAAATTCAACTGAGTAATATTTACAGATCTTACTGGCTTTGTTCAATGATTATGAATCAGGCAGCGTCCAATCCACTGGACAGAAAGGAGCTGCGAGGAGCTGTACAAAAGGAAAGACTTCTACGGACAGAAGGAGCAGGCACAGGGCCGTTATACTAGACAAAAAAGCAAACAAATGGTTATGCCGGCTCAATTTTCTTTAGGGGTTCGCAGGGGTCTATCAGGCAGGTCATCTAACAAGAGCAGATTAGGCAATTCTTGACGGACTGGCTGAAGATTCCATTTCTTGGAGGGCTGAAGCGAGTCTCCGTGCGGCGACACGGGGCTTAGCGCAAGTGGCGGCCTTGTCCCCAACAGTACGTCATTATTCAGCCACTCTCCCGTGTGCGCGAATAACCTCAGGCAAGTACATTTTCACATGGTTGGAGATACATGCTCAGGGTCATTTCGAGAAGTGGGATGACAGGGTGGAGTGGTGACTGCGCACGGGCCTGGGATCCCCATTGTCTGAGCTCCTGCCGGGCGGCCGCGTTCCCACAGCAGCACTTGCCCTTTCCTCGCAGCCTCGCCAAGAGAACGCGTAGCATGCTTTTTAATTTGTGCCAATCTGACAGGCATTTCATTGGTATTATCTTAACTTTGAGTGAATCTGACCACCTTTTTTTTTTTTTAAAGATTTTATTTATTTATTTGACAGAGAGAGATCACAAGTAGACAGAGAGGCAGGCAGAGAGAGAGGAAGAAGCAGGCTCCCCTAGAGAGCAGAGAGCCTGATGCGGGGCTCGATCCCAGGACCCTGAGATCATGACCTGAGCTGAAGGCAGCGGATTAAACCACTGAGCCACCCAGGCGCCCCTGACCACCTTTTTGATATATATCTCTTAAGAGTCATTTTTATGTCTTTTTTTGTGAATTATCTGTTCCTGCCTTTTTACTATTTTCTTAACTTTAGGGCTTTTAAATGTCTCTCATTTTAGAATCTTCTTTAAATACTTAATGTTGGGGCTCCTGGGTGGCTCAATAGTTAAGCGTCTGCCTTTGGCTCAGGTCATGACCCCAGGGTCCTGGGATCAGCCTGCTTCTCCCTCTCCCACTCCCCATGCTTGTGTTCCCTTTCACGCTGTGTCTCTCTCTGTCAATTAAATAACAAAAATCTTTAAAAATAACAATAAATAAACAAATACTTAATGTTAGGGAAGCTGGGTGGCTCAGTTGGTTGGGTGGCCAACTCTTGGTTCTGCTCAGGTCATAATCCTGGGGTCCTTGGTTCAAGCCCCACGCTGGGCTCCCTGCTCAGCAAGGAGTCTGCTTGAAGATTTTCTCTCTTTCTCTCCTTCTGCCCCTCTGTCTGCTCATGTATTCTTTATATATATATATATATATATATATATATATATATATATATATATATATATATAATGTCACCGCGCCGCTGCCCCACGGACCCCGCGGTGGTCACCGCGCCGCTGCCCCACGGACCCCGCGGTGGTCACCGCGCCGCTGCCCCCACCGACCCCGGGTGGTCACCGCGCCGCTGCCCCGAGCCGCTGCCCCACGCCCGCCGGCCCCGCAGCACAGCGGGTTCTCTCCTGGCGGACCTCGGGGAAAGGCCTTTGCAGCGGGTTTCCTAAGAGCGCAAAGATCAAACCCAAAATCCACTCTAGTGATATTTGTAGAAAGGCAGACCTGGGGCGCCGGGGCGGGGCGTGGGGGGAGCCTCTGCGGGGAAAAGGCTGCCTTTGGCTCAGGTCAGGGTCCTGGGGTCCCTGGATGAGCCGTGCTCGGTGCGGAGCCTGCTGCTCCCCCTGCTTGTGCTCTCGCCCCCTCTCTCTCTCTCTGACAAATAAATAAAACCTTTAAAAAAAAAAAGGCAAACAATAAATTTAAAATAAGCTTTAACTGCTCTGGATGTAGTTTATGGTATTTTATACGAAAAAGAGAAATCCTTCAGAATAGTTCCTAAGAATGGGGGGGTAACATTTTCATAATGCCTGTATTTACATTATGCACTGCTTGAATTTAGGAATATATTTTTACAGCACTGGTAGCAGATTGTTTTTGTGTTTTTCACTTTAAATCTTATGGGGCTCCCCTCTTCCCATGTTCTTTTTTATGTTTTGTTTGGTTATTTTTAAAAATAATTTTAGACTTACGAAAAATGCTGCAAAAACAGCACAGACAGTAACAAATGTTGACCAGGATACGCAGTACTTAGAACCTTCACGCAAAATGCAGCCATTTGGGAAAACAGTTTGAAACAGTTTTCAAAATGCTACACATGGCATTGGTGGTATAGTGGTGAGCTCCGCTACCTTCCAACATGCTGACGGTAGAGTTACCACTTTGACCCACAACTTTGACTTCTGGGTATCTATCCAGGAGAAATGAAAATAAATGTCCACACAAAAACCTGTAGACAAACAGTAAGTAGAGCATTCGTTAATAATCAAAAAGTAAAACAATGTAAATGTCTGTCAACTCATGAACGGATGAACACAAGATGGTTTGTCCACACAGTGGAATGTTATTCAGCTGTAGAGAAGTACCGGCACACACTAGAACACAGATGAACCCTGGAAACATCACGCTAACTGAGGAAGTCAGTCACAGAAGACTACACACAGTCTTGTGTATCCCAGGGATATGTTTTAAGACAGCCCAGTGGATCCCTGAAACCGCAGATCGTACCACACCCTATATATACAATGTTTTTTATGCATACATAACTATCATAAAGTTTAATTTATAAATTAGGCATAGTAAGAGATTAACAACAACAATAATAAAATAGAACAATCATGACCATATACTGTAAAAAAAGTTATGTGACTATGGCCTCTCGAAATGTTATTATATCTACTCACCCTTCCTGAGCTGATAAGATGCCTGCGTGAGGAGATAAAGTGAGGTGAATGACGTTGGCATTGTGACAGCTCCAGGTGACTACTGACAGCTCTAGGCAACAGCACCAGGCGACTGGACCATATGTCAGAAGGAGAAAGTTCTGCTTCCAGACCTCAGCTGACCCTAGGTAACTGAAGCCACGGATGAGGACTACTGCACCATCTGATTCCATTTACGTGAAATGTCCACAATAACCAAACCAGTAGAGACAGATTAGAGACTGTTGGGAGCTGCGGAAGTGAGGGGATGTGGGGAGTGACTGGTAATAGATATGGGTATTTTTAAGGGATGTGTGATAAAAACATTCTAAAATCTTATTATGGTGATGGCTGTGCAACTCTGGATATGCTAAAATTCCTCAAGTATACATTTTAAATGAGTGAATTTCATGGCATGTAAAATATATATCTCAATAAAGCTATTTTTTAAAAAGTGCACAGCGTCCCTGGGTACTCTTCACCCAGGTTTCCTGATTCTTGTTGTAAATTACATGACCACAGTGTAAATATTGAAACCAGGAAATTAACATTGAAAACTATTAGCTAACTAACCGACAAGATCTTATTCAGCTTTTCCTAGTTGTGCCCCTGAAGTCCCAGGGAAGGGAGGAGGAGTCTTTGGCACCCGGGAGCTGGCCTGGTCTGGCCAGCATGCCAGCAGTATGGCTACGTGCTGGCCTGACACTCACACTGGGTTGTTGTGGGGTTTCTTTGTTTGTTTTTTGTTTTTGTCTTTTTGGAGATGTAATGGACATCTAACATTATATTAGTTTCAGGTGTACAATGTAATGATTTCAGATTCGTACATATTGTGAAATGTTCACCATAATAAGCCTGGTGAGCATACCAGCACATATGTTACAGATTTTTGATGAGAACTTTTTTTTTAAGATTTTATTTATTTATTTGACAGAGGGAGAGCGCACAAACAGGGGGAGCAGCAGGCAGAGAGAAAGGGAGAGCAGACTCCCTGCTGAGCAGGGAGCCCGATGCAGGGCTCGATCCCAGGACCCTGAGATCACGACCTGAGCTGAAAGCAGAGGCTTAACTGACTGTGCCACCTAAGTGCCCCTTGATGAGAACTTTTAAGCTTTATTCTCTTAACAACTTTCAAATATACAATCCAGTAGTATTGTCTATAATCACCATGAGTACAGTACATCCGCGGGACTTGCTTATTTTGTAGCTGACAGTCTGTACCTTTTAATCACCTTCACCCATTTCTCCCACACCCCACCCCCCACCTCTGCAGCCACAGAGGTTCTGTTCTGTGTATCTGTGGGGTTGGTTTGGTTGGCCCGTTGATTGCTTGGTTGGTTTTAGACCCCACATACAGTATCTGTCTTCCTCTGCCTGACTTACGTCACTGAGCACAGTACCCTCCAGGCCCACCGCGCTGTCCCTCACACTAGGTCCTGATGTTCTCCTCTTACACATAAAGAATTTCACAGAGCATCGACGTCAGTTAAGGCTAGTCTGTGACCATGATGGATCAAGATGAAACACTTGCACTCCATAATCATATTTGGAGATATATTTGAACTTTAGACATTATTCAAGCCACAACAGACCAAACGGTGTCCTCTCCTGGCTAATGTGAGTGATTGCTGCTGCTACACCTCTGGCAGAATTAACCTTGCTCCCCGTAGACCCTATTAATAGACCCAAAGGTAGGATTGTATTCTGCTTTTGGGACCACCTCCATTCCCTTGATCCTCCTTCAAATGTACCCAACCAAAAAGTGTTTCTAATACCCTTCTCTGGAAACTTCCCCCAGTCCCCAGTGGGCGCCTTCTCCCTTGCGAGAATGTGCAGTGAACCCAACTTACTCAACTCTGATTGTGTTCTTCATGGTCTCTGGCTGAAGAGCGTGGACAGCCCCTTTTCTGTTCCAGGATTCAATTCAGGATCCCAAATCGCACTTGGTCTTCATGTCTCCGTAGTCTCCTTCCATCCTGAATATTTCCCTTTTTTTTGTCTTTCACGATCCTGACACTGTTTACTGGCCAGATGTATTACAGAATCTCCCTCCATATGTGTTTGTCTGATACCTCCTTACGAGTGGATTCTGAGTATGTGTTATAGGTAAAGTAACGCAGAAGTGATGTTGTGTCCTTCAGTGCATGATAATAAACAAGGACATGAGTGTCCCTTCATGAGCCTCGCCTTCAACCACTATCACTGCAGTGGCTCCTGGGTGGCTCACTCTGTTGAGTGTCCTACTCTCATTTCCAGCTCGGGGCATGGTCTCAGGGTCGTGAGATCAAGCCCTGCGTTGGGCTCCATAGTCAACGAGGAGTCTGCTCGAGATTTTCTCTCTCTGACTCTGCACCTCCCCATCTCAATATATATCAATAATTATCACTGTGGTGATAGTGGTGATCTTATATCTTGTATCTCCATCATTCCTTCTACATTCATTAATAGGAATTCTATCATAAAAAAGCATTATATCTTCCCCCTCATCTTAAAATTTGTTTTTATTTATATCAGCATGGAATTGTGGGTAGTTGCATTGGTTTATGAGTTATAACCCATTACTAACATTAATTTGTTGCTCAAATTGTCCTGGTTTGGCCACTGTGAGAGCCATAAGATGGGCTCTGAGGTTCTGTCTCTAAGCCATTCTGGAGCCTTTTTGAACTTTTGGCCCTAGATCAAGAGGTTCCAGGCTTCTCTTGTACTTTCCCTGCTCTAGCCCTGGAATCAGCCATTTCTCCAATGAACTCTGACTCCCTTTTATTGGAAAATGGCATTTCAAAACCAAGATTTGGGCACAAGGTATATTCAGGGATAATGGGTTTTTGTTGCTTCTAGGTCCTCTCCGTGGGCGGAGCTAGGAAATAGATTTATGTACACGCACACGTCTGTATCTGTGTGAGTGTGCACGTGCACGTGTGTGTGAATAATCGTGAGTTCGCACCTCTGATTCCAAACCAACAGCACAGGATTCATTCCAGCTCTCCTCCTTTCCTTTGGTAATTTCTTTCTCTGACAGTAAAAAACCTCAATCTCATTATCCACAGTATATTTATTTGTTCAAGCCTCGCATGTATATATATACAAAGAAGTTTCAGAACTGCTAACCTATACCCTTGTGAAAAACAAGTTTCCTAACTAGGGATTAACATTTGTTCCTTTTGTCTTCAGCCTTATATTACACGGTCAAAACACGGCTTTCTGCAGGCATCACAGTTACCTTTTCCTTCCTCACTCTCAGTGCGTTTCTAATATTAATCGTAATACAATCAGGTTACTTTGTCACCGTGTATATTGCCTTTGAGGTTCCTTCCACATTCTGGTTGACTTTAATTGTCCCTTTGTGTGTTGACTTAATGTGTGACATACTAGCATGATTTAGAGGAAGAGCCATATAAAAGGGTACACTTGGGGTATCAGCCCATCCCTACCATTCCATTTCCATCGTCTCATTCTTTTCACCCCATTTACTCTGAACATGACACATTTATTCATCTCTGGTTTATTCTTTCTGTATTTCTCATTGTATAGTATGTTTTCTTATATCCCCTTATTTCTCACATGAAGGGTATCAGACAACACACGTTCTTTTGTGCATGGCTTATCCTGGAAATCATTCTATATCAGTTTATAGAGGTTATCCTCATTCTTTCTTTGATAGCTGCATAATGCTCTCTTGTATGGATGTCCTGTTAGAAAACAAAATTCAACTGAGTAATATTTACAGATCTTACTGGCTTTGTTCAATGATTATGAATCAGGCAGCGTCCAATCCACTGGACAGAAAGGAGCTGCGAGGAGCTGTACAAAAGGAAAGACTTCTACGGACAGAAGGAGCAGGCACAGGGCCGTTATACTAGACAAAAAAGCAAACAAATGGTTATGCCGGCTCAATTTTCTTTAGGGGTTCGCAGGGGTCTATCAGGCAGGTCATCTAACAAGAGCAGATTAG